TTACCGTTCTTACATTTATTAGAGCATGAGGTCTGTAGCATGTTTTCTGTGGATAGTTATTAAAGTATTATTATGGAATGCATTATCCCCACCCAATAAGGAATTGCAAATAGTGTTTTCATGTCTTGGCTTGGGGTGACTGATCCTGTGACCGCATACGGAACAATGAGCAATTGAGCAAACTTGGTGGTGTTCAGTAAATCGTGTGCATCTTCACTGTGTTGAGACGGTTGGGAACGTTGTCGTGACTAGGGGACAGCAATGTCAGTAATTCAGGGTGCCAAACAATCTGAAGATTCAGTCTGAGTGTTGACATGGCAGGCAAGAGAAACATTTTTGTAGGATGTGGTTGATCTTCATATACAGGTAGGCTCCTTAAACTGCTCCACAAAAACCTGTATTAAAAAGATTTGATGAAATATGCACTTTGTGTTGGATATTTTTGACATGAACTATTCAATGCTATATTTGTGGTGTATATGGCAAGCGAGCATGTTAGTTACTATTCTTAACACTTTTCAAAATGATTATGGTCTGAGTACTGACTTGCAAACCTAGTTACAGTGCTTAAAGGCATGAGCAGTAACAACCAAGATGCACAAATTAAAATCAGACCACTTTCTACTGGTTTGCTATCCATAATTAAGTACTCTATCTACAGGCAGAAATGTCCTCATGAAAAGTATGTTATTATACGTGACATTATTGTTGAGTTACCACTGGATGCATTCTATGCTCACAAGGTTTTTCATATCGGTATTATTGGATTCAATTATTGAGAAGTCAGTACTGAGAGAGTATATACACACAATAAATGTGAAATATGCCATTTCAATAAGGCTCTAAAAAGGTCTTGGTGTGCCATGCATCAGGGCATCGATTTAGACTACCAAGGTTTACGTGAAATGGAATGAAGTTATCTTTTATTCCCCAGTTATTAATCTGCACAGTTTATTGGTTGTAGTATTATATTTTCATCATTTGTGTATCTTGTATCCCCATTTAATTCACTAAAACATCACACAACATTTTTATTTTTCTATATCTGGATTGTGAGAAACGTAAAGCTTCTAATTTATTTTTTAAGCTTATGCATGTATGTTTTTTTTGTTGACGTTAATATCGTGTTGTATTATTACATGTATCATGCATTGTGTATGTTTTTTTACCTTACTGCAAAGCACATTTTCCATCTGGAATAATAATGGAATTAAGAAAGTGGACTCATTTTTCATAAAAAGCAGCAGGACTGACAAGCACCTGTTTTGGAGGATTTGTGCAGTGCCACGTTTTGAGCAGTGAGCTAAGCTGTTTTTAAGCTGGTGATTCTAAATTGTGGTCCAGAAAAAGGAAAACCCTTGGCAATTGGAAATGTAGGGAATATGTATGGTTTTGAAAATCCTGCAATAAGGAGGAAGATGCTTGGACAACCCCAGTTGTAAAACGTGTCTTTTTCTTGTTTTTCCAGCTCAGCAAAACCAAGATTACCGCATTGCTGCCGGAATGCAGTTCAGTGTTGGAGACAAATGCAAGGTGTGGAAAGAAAACTATGGGAGTGGAGACTAATTTGTGTGGTTCAGTTTTGCCACGTGGGCTCCTTACATTATAATCCCCACTATTGGCTGTTTGTGATGAAGTAGAAATAAAGAAGATTTGTTTTTTACGTGCCTTAACTCAAGATATTGATAACGCAGTGCTCAAGGCCCTGAAGGATTGCACTGAAATGTCATGAGAGAGAGATCTGAGCAACATTAATAGTACATATGATATTATAGTACCACAGATGAAAGTCTGAGTGGTTATTTTCTGATTCTCTAAAAAAAAATCATAGTGATTTAATGATTGATAATCGTTAAAGTTAAAAAAAAAAAAGTATTTGTCTTCACTATTTTGTAAGAAACCAGATTTGTTGTTGATCTTTTTGTCTTAGGTGTGCCTGGAACACGATGGAGAATTCTATAATGCATATATTCAAGAGGTGTGCCCTAACAATGGGCCTGTAACAGTGTTTGTTGAAGAACTTGGAGAAAAGTGAGTATTTTAGAGACCCGAATCAACAGTTGAGAACTATACACATAATGTAGGATTTAGCAGGGGATTTCTGTTGAACCCGGTGGCTATAATATTTCTGTGCATGAGGTTCTGGGAATCGCGCTGACACGTTTGTAAAATGTCCTTGTGTGAGAAGAGTGCCTGTCCCCTTTTCTTTCAAGGCACACTGTTCCTTTGCGGAACTTGAAGCCCCAGGCCTGGAGTTCAGTGGCAGAGAAGGGAAGGAGAATTCCGGCAGTTAATGGGCACAGCCAGCACTCTGGTAAGGAGCCCAAGCTTCCTGTCTTCTGTGGCGTGCACCGGTTTTTAGTATCTAACAGTTGTTCCGGTGAACTTCTGTTCCTAACGCAGATAAGGACCACCGAGGAGCACGGAAGTCTCTGAAAGCACCTGCGAAGCTCCCAGCAGCAGCTCCTCTGTACAGCCAGCAGGCTGCCCCCGCCAGAGGCCAGCAGCAGCCTCCTGTGGAGGACAGAGCACTGGGCAGGCCCTGCTCCTCCCAGAGGTCAGCGCCTGCGGTGGTCTCTCATTAGCTCCGTCGTTTTCTGTTCCGCTTCGGAAGAGTTTCAGGACTGCAGCCAGACCTGTAAAGGCAATCCATGAGGGTTTTTTCAGAGTCTCTTCATTGTTGGGGGGGGTTAACCAAGCTCCTGTGGCTGATAATTTATATATTGACTACCTCCTAAGTTATACAGAGGCATTTCTGGGAGAGCCTAATTCGATCTTTATGTGCCGTTTGCTTGTTGTCTTGATCCCCGGGCTCAGTGCCACTATTTAAAACAAATCTGTCTCAGACATTGAGGGTAGACTGAGGTTCAATTGAAAGTGTTTTTCAGCCGAACTTATGGTTGATGGAAATGTGCCATAAATTCCATGCGCTCGGAGAGGATGCACCTCACTGTTTTTTCTTTAAAGAAAATTAGTGACCTGAACGATTTGAAGGCCTACACGTTTGCTGCTAGCTGACCATAGATCCTGAATAGCAAAGTAACATTTGAAATTTCTCCGATTTTCAAAAGATGAATTTGAGTAGATGTGATGTTCAGAAACTCTTTTACTAAGTTTTCGGAAGCTGTGCGAGTGCAGACCAACGGTAGAATTATTCTCCTTTGGGTTCTTCATGCACATTTATCCTGATTGTGAAAAGAGGCACTGATGGGGAAAGGTACATTTTCAGAAATCAAATGTGAAGCTCACTTAGCAGAATGGTTGGTGTTGTTTTTTATTTCTGCTCGTGCTCTGCAGAGATCTGACTGTGTTGCTGCTGTTACAGGAAGTGTGATCCAGGACACCCTTGTTCCAAAGCAGAGGAGGGACTTGGTGCCCCATCAGTCCAGGAGCACCTGGCCGCAGCTACGAAGACAGAACTGTATCAGGCTTCTTGTGACAGTCTGCATAAGGATGAGCAAAACTTCCCAGCGCTTAGTGTGAGTACTGGTGTAAGATCCCCCCCTTTTTAATAAACACCCCGGAGGATCACATGGTAGAGGGGGAGGCTACTCATTAGAATGCCCGCCAACCTGTGCACATATTGCCAGCCCGCATACCATATTGTTTGTGTCAGTGCAAACAAATGCCTTCTCTGCCATCTTGCCTTCTGAAAAAATGAAATTATTGCAATATACTCATGAATGTTAAATGTATACAGTATCTTGAAAACCTCTGATTTGCATAATGAAAACTTTTTTGCAATCGTGTGTTTCAGAACGAGGCAACAAAACGTCCAGTGACGTGAAGCAGCCCTATTTTCCAATAGGGCTACAAATTACTGCAATGTAATATAGGGAACTGCAGAGCAGTTTTTTTTACTTAGAGTTAGAATTGGCATTGAGTGCATTTCATACCACAATGAGAGTAAAATGTACACAGTAACATGCTAAACCTCCAATTTATATAGCAAAATAGACTACATTTCCAATTATGTGTAGTACCATATTGCCGTCATTGCCTGCGATTCAGAATGGGGCAACAAACCTTCTGGTAACAGCGCTATTACATTGTAAACAAGCAGGCTTGTGAATACATCTCTTTTAATCCAATAGAAACCAGCGGTTTGCAACAACAATGGCAACCATACAGAATTCTCACAAAGTTTACTATTTTGTGCTTAATTCGGAATTGGTAAAATTTGTTTATGCCATCAATACATTTGATTTTGTTACCAAGATTTAAAAACCGGTCTGAAAAATTGGAACTGCAGTTTCTCTTCAGTTCAGTACAAAACCGTGACTAGCTTTAGAAAATATCCATTTGTTTTTTTTTTACTGCCAGAAAAATATCAAAAAGAGATTTTTAAACTGCCAACCCATCAGACTTAGATCTTTTCACAAACAGAGACCAAGTGTTTGCCAAGCTGCCACTCTGACCTCTGATGGTGCCAGGAAGCAGAGCCCCCAGACTGCTGAGAGGCAGAGCTCCAGACGCCGCCTGGACAGACAGGACCAGCCCAGGGAGAATGGCAAGTTGAATTCAGTCTGTTTCACTCACACTGGCATCTCCAGCATCAGAGGACCTGAAGAAGCCTCTGCATTAACACAGTGAACCAGGAGTTCTTAAAAAGCATCTTACACTGCATTACACCCTTACACCCATTACACTCGCTTGGCCTCAGCTGAATGCTTTGCTTGTAGCAAACAATTAAATGGTGAACTCAGTTATTTTATTTTGCTAATTAATTAGAAAGTCAGGTCAGAGTACAGTGCTGGGCCTAGATCTATTTAGATTATTTCTCTCCAAACCTACTTGCCCATAGACTAATTCATTTGTTAGAGTTAATTTTTAATAGGTTATGGGGTAAATTAATTTTTCCTGAGACTACTTTTTAAGCTTTAAAAGTAAACATTTGCTGGTGTTGGTAATTGGTCTAACAGTTTATCCAGAGATTCAGGAGTATATCTGCTTACCAATACTACAGTAAATTAATTTTAGCGGTTCAGTTCTTCTCGGAGTGTTTGAAGTTAGAATAAGAAATTGATGGTTTTTCATAGCATTGATGTGACATGTTCTCAAGGAATCAAGAGTATATGAAGGCAACATTTGTTAATAGCAGCATTATTTGCCATCAAATGAAGTGAAAACGTTTCACTATTTTTGATGGAAGAAACTGAACTTGAAAGTAAATCCACTTTAGAACCTTTTATACCATCAGCATAATTCTGCAGTTTAAAAATTGTTTTAATTTTCTGTACAGAAGCAAGAAATCCATCTCCTAGATCTGTCCAGAAAGGAGAAAAGAATAAGCCTTTGGTAAGTGTCTTTGGGCACCGTAGGAGGAGAAAAGTAAAACTTTTTTTCTGGTGGCGGTTGTGGTTTCAAGAATTGTATTTTTATTAACTTCTAGAAAAGCAATGCTGGAGAGTGCCAGAAGGTGTCATCAGCCACTGAGAGGAAAATGAAAGCACAAAACTCTCCCTCTTCCCAGCAGGTGTGTTTTCAGTATTTCCCACCCATTTTGAGTCTAGGTTGTGTGCCTTGCTTTTGCACTCTGGGGAAAACGAAACCAGAGTGCACAAGCAGAAACCACGCACCCATGGTGGGGAAAGGGATCAGAGCAGCCTGGAGTCTATCCTGGGAGTATAGAGCACAAGGCTTTATTCCAGAAGCATGTTTTCTTTTTCCTTCTTTAAAATGTTCCATTCTAAGATTTCAGTACAGACGTAGTTTTGTAATATTTTCTGTCCAGCTGCGTGACCTCCCGTCAGGTTTCTCAGCTGCACTTCTCCAGGGTACAGAGCAGCCCAGCTCCTCCACGAGACCAGCTGACCCAGCCCCCAGCCCGCCGGCGGCCCTGCCCCCTGAGCCTCCTGCCTCCTGCACAGCAGGTACTTACCCTCTTCCTGCCGTCCAGCTCAAGATTCTCAATTACACAGGGTTATGGGGAAAGACGGGCTTGGTGAATAAAGCCGTCTTCACTCACAGCCTAACCTTACTTTGGATGCATGTAACCTTACTTGATGGTTGGAATGTAAGGGATATCATGGTCCTGGAAGACATGTTATTGGATTAGTTCCCGATTTAAAATGGCATGGTGCACGCAGACCAGCTGAACAGAAGGGAATACTGGCTGACTTCTTAGGTTTCTGTCCATTCTTGGTAAAGATCATGGAAAGCTGAAGCTTAACCTGGAGGCATAGAAGACGGGATGGGGACTAAATAAAATACTAAAGTAAAGTAAAATTCTGCTGCTTTTGTCAGCTTGCATGTCAGGCTTCAGAAATGCATTAGTGGAGTTTTAAGTTCCGGTCGTAAACCTATCCCAGTAAGCTGCGTATAGCAAAATGTCCCACAAAATCCAGGCTTGTTAACCAAATCATCAGGCATGCTAATGCGTGGAAATATTTTGAAATAGTCGCAGAATAATCTGAGTTCTGATTGGAAAATCACAGGGATATTGCACTGCTGCAGCAGTGACTAAGAGAATTCTGCATGAAGGAAACCAGTTTTCTTATTCCTTTTGTGACAAACCTGTTGGCATGTTGTAACAGGATCTTTAAAATAGTCGGGTACAGGCCAACAAACAAACCAAACACTCAGCTATTAGTTTTACCTTAGTGCATTTAATTCCAGTGCAGGGAATTAAAACTACAAACCAAACACCAAAACAAAAGTCTCTACACCTTATTGACCTGCTAACTAAACTTCTTCTTGAAATAAGCTAAATTGCTTACTGGCCTCAAAACAGTACACAAGTCTCCCCTGATACTCTTTTCAGTATTTCACAAGTTCCCCAAAAGCTCCCAGGTTCCTTTCAGTTCGGTCACCAGTCATTGAGTGGTACATAAAGGGGCCCTGTGTTCAGCCCCACAGACAGCTCCCATCCACTTCCACTAGGTGACCCTGGAAGCCTTCTCTTCCTGCTCTTTTAACAGTCACCTGACCAATTGGATTCCTGCCAGTGATCAGGTGACTGAGAGCAGCGGCTCATTCCCCGAGAGGAATCAGGGAAATGTGGTCCCTACAGGGCTATGCTCAAACACTATAAAGTGATGCTTCAGCAGTTTCGTTGTATGTATACTTCTTCCATATGAAAAATAAAGATTTATTCCATGCTGAAAAGAAACGTAACGTTTCAGCTGTGGGGCCTTCTTCAGGTGTCCATTCAACGCAGCCTACGCACGCTGACGCGGCTACCTACTTGAACTATTTTTTTTTTTTATATGTACCATAGGTGTTCAGCAGCCGATGGGTGTTCCATCAGTGTCTCCTTTACCTGCTGTGTTGCCCGAATTCCTGCCCCAGACTCGGGTGAACACCACCCCCATTCCTCCCCTTCCTGTTCCTCTGCATGCCGTCAGCCAGCCTTCATTGCCCTTCCCTCCGCTGGCATACCCCTACCAGGACCCCCTGTATCCTGGATTCCCTTTGAATGAAAAGGAGGAGAAGGTCCTTACGCCACCATTCTCCTACTGTCGGAACGGGGAGGATCTTCCCACAGGCGAGTGCATCGCCCTGCTGAAGTAGCACCTGTTTCAGACGTTTTGCCACATCTCTGGCAGTATGAGCTGGCGTGCTTGAAATCCGTTCGGGTCTCTTTTCATCTTGTTTGGCTGGTGTACCTTGTGCAGGTGGGCAGCTGGGTTCTCTTTTTTTTTTTTTAATCGATTTGTTGGGATTCTGCGCAGTCGAATGAATCGACTCAAAAGATCCGTTCGTTTGATTCACCAGGTCTCTTGAAGGGAGCAGCAGTCGAGTCAAGTCGGTGAACGAAATAGTACTGCTGCATGCTCGGAGAATTTACTTAAATGAGGCTTGAGCATTTATGCTGCTAAATGAAAACTAAGATTTAATGGAGAAGTGATGCTCTTTTTGTCCCATTTCCACAAGGGAAAGGAGTATAGTTTGAGAAACAATTATATTTTTGTAAAAAATCTTAAAGGAAATACAGTATATATACAGTTACATTGAGGAAAGCTTATCCTGTTAATCACGTACAGTTGTTTTTTCCCCTGAGTTAAAGTTAGCAAAACATTATTAAAAATATAAAAAAGATACTTTTTATCACAAAACTGTTATAGTGGCAGATAAATAACAGCAGTGTGACATTAAATTGTTTATAAATAAACAGCAACACAATTAAATTAATGGCAAATACAGAAAATAAAACGGCAATATGAACACATCAAATCATGCTAAATCTTTGACAACAGAATAATAATAAAAAGCCAATTAAACAACACTTCTGTTTAAATACTGTAGGGCATATTTGCTGCTGTAATTCAGGAATTTTTGCAATGATGAGTCAACAGCTCATCGATACAGAGGCCTTGTGTTTCTATGGAGTTAACCACTGAGCTCTTGCCCATTGTAAATATACACTGCACTCAATTCAAGTTTCCAAGTTCCTCTCTTTGTTCTTTGAGTGGCGGTTGGAAATGAATCATCTCCTGCTTTGACTCTTGGCTCGATGCTCGATTTGTCTCTCCAAGCCGAAAGATTTAACAAATCAAACGAACTAATCATTCGGGAAAGAATGAATCGGTCCATCTCATTTGCTGAAGTTATTCATTCTGATAATCCAATTGTTCGCAAATGGCTCTAGTGGTTTGTTTCCGGCCCCAATTAAAAAAAACAACAACTGTTTAGTAACACAATTATAAGGTGGGTAACAAATTCTCATTGATCACAAGATCTACTGTTTTATTATTCTGTAATCATAATTATGGAATTGAATTAATTGTTTGAATAAGAAATTGAGTATCAGTTCAATTAGCTAATTTGCTAATCAGTGCTAATTTGCTAATTGAACGTAAAACCTGCAGAACGTGAGCACTTGTTACCCCTTGCTGATTTAGATAAAAATATTTTCCTTATTTTAGCATGTAATACCGTGAGACGAAGGAAAGATGGTAACAAACACTTCATGACATCTCCAACAGCACACTCTGGTGCCAAGTCCATTTAACAGTATTTGCAGATCATATGCGAGGTTAATTTTCTAACCACTTTCATGTACTCTTTATTTTAACAGATAAGTCCATTCTGAGGTTCTTTTTCAATCTTGGTGTAAAGGTAAGCTATGTTGAAGAAACTCCTCTTTAGATCCTGAAGTAGGAGACGATTGCATCTGTGATCTCTGAGCACTAATTTGCTACACAAACTGCAGTAGTCTCCTGTGCGGGTTGGTGTTCTTTGTTTTTGGAATCACGCATCGGCAGAAATCTGATTCTTTTTGCTTCTCATACTTGCTCAAATAAATGACAAGGGTAAATGCACTTGTCGGTATAAACCAGGGGCTGGCAAACTGTTTTGTATCACGTGCCACTTTTTCTATTGTTAAAATTGGGGAAAAAAACATAACCCATGCCACTTACTATAAGCTGGTTTTAATGTTAAACATTTTACAAAAATATATTAAAAATGTATTTGACAAATAGATTACAATCACACCTTTAATTGACAACCAGTTTTAATCTTTTAGCTGCATATGAATAGCATGTTGCCAAGAATGTCACACGTATGCCACTGAACACTTCTAGCTGAGAGAAGTGCGTCTCTAATTTTAGTTAAAATATCACTTTTGTTGGCAAAGTCTTCAAAAAGATCTTCGGCGCATTGTGAAAAGCTGTTCTTCAAAAAATCACTGTAACTGGTTTTTATTTGCATGCGGTACATCACGCAACTGTGTAACGTGACTTACTTGGACTTCAATCAATCTATCAAGTTTTATTTATCAATGCACAACAATACCGCATACAGCGGTGGTTGTTGGCAATGAAATGCTTTTCATGCAAGCTAAACAAGGAGAGATAGGAGAGAAGTTGATAGAATTATATTAATATAATACATTAATGTTTTTCATGTATTTTCAGAAATGTCAATAAACATGTAATAATTCAATAATTATGAAATTAGTTTCATAAACTTTTTTTTTCTTTGGCATTTGACTCAACCTATTTCTTTATTGTTCGGCTGTCAGCTGTATTCATATGTGAAATTGATTATTTGTGTTTTGTGTCAAAGTGTCTAAAACAAATAGATGTGTCTTATACAACAACATAATGTTTGTCTATAACTCTCACATTTTTCAAAGGGTTAACTTACAGCAATTTCAACAGTTCAACTGAAAGTGTTTTAGTCATACATTACTTATTAGGCTTACGTGTTTTGTAGTATACTTACAGAATATCGCTCAGAGGTCATGCCAAGAATGCTAGATTAAACGGGACTGGAAACTCCAGCCTAGCCGTTGTCCGCTGCTTTAAGTAAGGACATGTAGTGTACGAAGAAGCCGTGACGTGATTCTCATCTCTTAGGTGTCACACCGGACACTGGAGGCACATCGACACCTACGCTCTCCAGGGATTTACGTAGTCTGATTTAGAATGCAGCAAATCAACCCCCACAACAATTAAAACGTTTTCAGTTGTTTTGGTTAAATTACAAATTTCTTGGTTGCCTTATGCATGCCATGCCAAAGCTCAGTGCGTGCCAGAGGTTGCCAGTTCCTGGGATAAATCGATCTTACTGCAACAAACGACGTATGTGTAATACGTCACGTTATGCACGTGCAACAGGTGTGTTGTGTGATGTTTCGGGATGTATTCGGATGTACGGAAGCGCTCTGTGTCCATAAAAAAAAAAAAAAGTTTCCAAAGAGATAAAGTTTCTTATTTTATCTTCCCTTTTTTAACCAGGCTTATAGTTTCCCTATGTGGCCACCCCATTCCTACATCTTGCCCCTGCACCAGGCCTATCTGAATGTCTACGCCATGCAGCCCAAGGTGCCGGATTCCACCTCCTTCTCCTGCTCGTGGGTCCCTGAAGCTCCTGCTGCGCCCCGCGCGGTGACCTCCGCAGCTCCCGCCGGGGCTGGGCTTGAGCACCCCAGCCGGAGCCCGCCTGGGCTGGCTGCTGCCCACCCTTCGGGTCGGTGGGAGCCAGCGGGCGCAACGCAGCCGGCGGCTCAGACTCCCTTCGAACCTCCCCCTCCTGGGGCACAAGGTAGATTATGTAGTGTGCCGGAAGTGTATAGCGCTCAGCCCGGTGTGCCACTTCCGTTTGTACACCCCAACATGCCGAGACCCTACCTGGGAAACTACTCGATGTATCCGCCAGTCCAGCTGGGATACCCTGTGCAGAGGTTTCCCAGTGGAAATCCCACCACTATGGCAAACCTGCAAATCAGTCCTGCTGTTCCCCAGGAATACGGAACAGCAACTTTGACCTTTGGCGAAAGCGTCCTTAGCATTCCCCCTGTGGCTGCTAAGAATGATGAGTGTGAGGATGCACAACGTGAACAGCTCTTCCAAACACCTGTGCCCTTGGTCGAGGTTGCAAAAGAACAGGTTACTTTGCCCACTGAGGATCGGGATTCTTCTGTTGGCGCCTTGAAGGCTGAAGCTCTGCCTGTGCCGGAGAATGAGTGTATCGAAAGCGAAAATGAGGAGGAGAGCCTTTCAGCTGTGGTAACTGGGAGTCAGGCAAGTGAGACTGAGAAGAGCAACGCCAATGAGGCTAGAGGGACAGAAAGTCCCAGAGAAAGAGCAGGGGCAAACTGGGGATATGAGCTGGGCACGGAGAACCCAGAGGCTGTAGAGGAGGATAACGAGCAGAGTGAGACCATGCCTAGAAGCAGCAAGTTTTACTATGGTCGCTCATTTAGGGGAAAAAGAGGCATCGGCATCTATAGGGATAATAAATGGAGGGGCCCGGGTAGAGGTTATCGAGGCAGAAGAGGACTGGACGAGAGGAGGGAATACAGCTACAGTGAGGGCAGATCTGGAGAGACACGGGATTACCAGAACACCATGCGTGGAGAGAAGAGTGGCCGTTACAGGGGCCCATCCAATAGGAGCAGAGTAGCGAGATGGAACAGTAGTCACGGGGGCGACCGAGATTCGGGCTACGCAGGGCTTGACCGTAGGAATGTGACTCCAGACCAATAACAACATAACCCCGTTTTTTTTTTTAAACTGAAATCAGCAGTGATTACCCAAGCTTCTTGTATGCAGGAGACCTCTTCAGGTACTACTTTAAAAAAACTTCCATCTGATTTCTTCACTTCCAGGGACAAGTCAGATTTGACTTCCAAATGTGAAGTAAACATAGCAGAGATACCGATACAGCCCTGCACACGTGCTGAGTGGGTCACCTTAATTGTGCTGAGTAATTAGGCCTGTGGTGGCCAGGTCTTGTGCTTGATAGCCACAGGACCTGTCCTGCTGAGCTCTCCATGTACCTGCTTATTTGAACAAGTGTCTTCCTAGTGAGTGAAGAGGCATGTGTCCTGGAAGGACCTGTGATTTCACTCTACTATAAAGTCACAGCCAGGGTTTGTGGGAGTAAGGAGTAGCTATATAGAATTTACTGTGAGCGTATGGGCAGAATCAGTTATATTTGTGATTAGGTTTTCTCTTACCTTGGATTAGAGAAGGTTCATTTTTCCAGCTAATTCCTGCAGTTTATCCAAAATGGGATTACAACTAGTTGTCTCACAAACTAGTAGCTTCCAGGAAGTGATGAGTAAGTGATTCTTCATTTTTACGAAAAGGACGAGGCCATTGTCAAAATTCCAAGGTATTAACGTTTGCTATTGACCGCCATACTGTTAGTAAAAGTTGAGTAGAAGTAGTATACCTTAAGATCTTGTAAAGTATGTTATATAGCACTGAAGACTTGGGTCAAACTGTTTACAGTGTTTCTTGAAATAGTATTGTTTAAAACCAAACTGAAAGCCATAAATTCAAGTTTAAATGAATATCCAGTTTTGATATTTCATGGCGCTGTACTGAAAGCCACCCCTCCAGCATATTTCTAAAGAGTATCCTAAAGCTCAGTCCATAAATCACAGTAATCTCCCAATATAAAATGACAGACCTGTGCTTTTTACTTTCTGCATTCTACACTTTCTATCCTTCAGTCCCAGTAAACAGTTTAGGTTTAGAATGTGTTGTGAGATTATGTATTTGTAAATATAAAACAAGAATGTACTCGTAAGACTTTAATCTCTGTGCAAGCTCCATTGTAGCGGGCTCTTTTTATCATTACAATCTGGTGTAATGAGTACCTTCAGATGAGGAGTGTTTGGGTGAGTCGTTTTTCTTCAGCCTGCCCTGGAAAAACCCCTGTATTATATATGTACATAAATGCATTCATGCTTTGTTACTCCTACATCCCAGCTGTCCTGAATAACTGAGCTAAAATATCCTGCTGTGTTTGGATAACCAAATAACTTGAAAGCAGTAGGCTTTCTGTTTTGTCTACTGTACGTTTGGATTTCTCCTACAGTTTCAGGTTAAATTATTATTTTTTTATCTGTGACGTGAACTGCTTTTTGTTATAGGTTTACATTTTAAAAATAGTTTGCGTATAGTTTGACTTTTAAAAAATGGCATTTCACAGGTTTAAGCTTTTAAGTTTGTGGCGAATCTTGACTGGATTATTTGCTCATGATTGAATGTTTTTTTTTTTAACTTTTTTGTGAATATTTTATGGGATTCTATTTATAAGTACTACCTCTATCCTTAATAAACCTGACCGCTAGAAGAAGCACAAGTGCCTTCATTGTCTTCTAAGTTCAGTTATATCAGAGATGGCACTTTCAATTTAAAGGGTGTTTTTTTTTTTATAAAGCTGAACATGGTATACAACATTGAGTCTGTGCTCCATTAAATTACACTTTCAAGTTGAAATTTATTCACATACTTTTTTTCGATGTCCAGTGAGGGGGCATCAATGTTAAATAGGACAGGGATATAATGGGCATGTTTGGATTAATTAGTTTTGCAAGTTACAGATTCTAAAAGTCACACCTGAAAACTATGCCTGTGCTGTTTTTAATTTAAAGTTTTTAAAATGTTCAGAATGTACTTGGAGGAAATGAATGCACTTTATCCAGTTTGCTTTTAAAGCAGTGTAATCACTGTAGATTGGGGTTCCTAGATTGGAATGCGCCTGGATTCCACACATTAAGTCTTGAAGTCCATAAAATGCAATGAGAAAAATACATAATTTTTGAATAGATGCATATAAACTACTATATTATTTCTTCTGATGTGCAAGGCTAATTTTCCCAGATATATTTCTCTCCTTTCAGTAATGACTGGTTTAGGTGTTACTTCTTTGAGGCACTGAAAAAGCTCCTGCACAAGCTCCACTGCCCTGACTAAAGCATCTCTCTGCCCCCTGTGTGCAGACCGCTCTGCCAGCTCTCGATTCCTTTAGCTCTCCTTCAGGTCCCAGCGTTCCAGATGTACCAGGTGTGGTGTCCGGCTGCTCTTCAGGCAGGGCCATAGCTGTATTAACTGGAAGTACAGTATGTTGAGAATGCAGTGTGCTGTGAGCAAACACTGTGCCAGCACTCCTGGGATGCTCTGCTGAGCCAGTCTGATATATTTTTTTTTTTGTTACATTCTGGATTTTTGTTAGGTGGCCCTAGAGAATTGCTTTTGTGCAGTAAAACATAATTTTGCAGTTTTCCTTTGGCAAGCTGCTTTTTCTACTAAAATAAGTCCTCTTTGAAGAACCAAAGCTTTAAAAATACTAAATGACACCAAGTTAATGGTGAAAGCATTTTGTGCAATAATCCTAAACATGATAGTGTGCAAAATCAAATGTACCCGTTTCCTCTTTTGTCAGTGGTTTGTCAGTTGACAACTTCTTGTTCTTTGCTGGAAGCACACATTTCATTTCATTTGCTTCAATGTGTGCATTTGGTTACTTTTTGTAAGATGTATGCGAGTTTTTGTTAATGGTGTTGTTGGCGTGATTATTCAATAAACATTTGTTTTCATCTCCTCTGCCTGAACATTTCTTTTGTCTTGATGTCACCACTATAAGTGATGTAGAATATTCTGTACTTCAATCCATTCAAGTTTTTTATGGTTAAGAACACAAGAAAGGTTCGCAATAGGGCTGTTCTTGAAGAGTTCAGAGGAATCCACTTTTACAGAAGATAAGAACTTATAGACCAAAGGAGAATGAAAATTCTCCAAGATTAGAACTAGCCTTTGTTTTCTCTTTAAAATGATCGGTGAAACATGAACCAGAGGGCTGGTTACTGGAGCATGGAACAGCCATGCAGTTGAAGCCGATACATTGCTTTGCTTTAAAAACACGTGACAAAGACCCTTGGGTCAATTAACGTTTTTTATGTATGTCCTTTTAAAAAAAACATTCCTTTAAGGCGGAGTTAGCTACTCTGGAAGCCTACCCTACTCCAGAAAGCATGAAGAGTAGTCATTCAAGGATTCATGTCACCAGATTCAATTATATTTGTTACTCATCTGCCAATGGAAATGGGGAGAGTCCAGCGAGACAGCTGAAAAATATTAGGGAGATAGTTTCCTCTAGAATATATTAGTCATTGATTTAATTAGATTGGAAAGCAGTAATGAGTGTAAAGACTTTCCATTGTAACATTATCTGGTATTTCAAAGTCTGTTAAATGTGAATGAAATTAAAATGACAGGATCCAAAATGTAAAAATACCAAACCAATTTTGTTCAATAATGGATTTACTGTGTGATAATTTTAACCAGAGAGAGAGCAGTTAAAAAAAATTCTAAACAAGCACAAAAATGGCCACTGTACTGTAAGCATTATACTGAGACACACCACATAGCAAGACATGAAGAGAGCCCATATGAAAAAACCCAGAACACAGATCTGTGAGGTCTGGAGAAATTTGGAGCTGAAACATTAAATGCCATTGACATCTTGAATAAGTGTGCCTTGAAAACCTCCTTGAGCCATACAGGCCTGTGAGGAAAGTATTTCAGCCTGCTAATTTTCAAATTACCCATCTGATCTCCAGACTGCTTTTCTCCATCAATATTACAATCTTGTTGCTTCATATAAAAAATTCTCAACAATCTTCTCGCTGCAACTGAACGTTTGTCAGCTATGGTCAAGTTCTCCAAATGTCTCATAACTCTCTTTAGCAATTAGAAACAAAGAACCTCTGCACTTTCTCCAAAATGAAGCATATTAAAAGTTTTGACCACTCACCGAGACATTCTACTTGGTTCCAAAATGGCTTAAACTGACCCACTTTTTACCTTTAATATGTATTTAATTGACATTCACCCCATTTTAAAACAGCCTGAATAAAGGCACATTTCAAGGAATGCATCCCCATATGAATAGGAGACATACTTTATTTGAGAAACTGAAAGGCTAATAGTTATATTTGGATTTGATAAATTGCTCAAAACATATATATTGTTACTCTATTAGCTCTATAACTCAAGCATAACAGTGTAAGTGTAGATTACATACTGAGCATCAATGTTTACATTTGATTTTGAATGATCTTTGATTAATTGATCATTCATAACTTGAATAAAGGTAAACTCCAGTCATTGAGTGTTGTATAAACTGTTATCTCATTAGCAAGACAGCCGATTTGGCACAGGTTGTGTGAAACAAGCCTCGTGAAAATCGAGAAAAGAAAAACGCAGCATTAACATGTATGTAAGGGATAATTCGTGATGACCTGGCATTCCATCCAGGCGGCAGTCCTGCCTTGTGCCATGTGATTCTGTGACCCTAGTGAGGAATAAGTCATTTACTGATGATGGATGGACAACAATTGCTATTGCAATTGCAAGTCAAACTACTGGTATAATCCAATGGAATCCATGCTCCTTTGGTGTAAATTAATAGACAGTCAAAAAACAAGGCAATAATTCATTAAAACAGAGTTGTTTTATTCATCAACAGTTAATGCATCACTTTAAAAATAAATGGCTGGTTATGCTTCACACTGACCCCCCATTCCAATTCATAGCAGACACGGGATCGAGTTAGGTCCCCATAAATAATAGCGACCTCTTTTAATTCTTTACTTCAGGAAAACACTAGGGACATAGAAACTCTTAAGTTAAAGTGTATTCAGCGATTTACAATAAAGGGCCGCCAACCAAATCTTTAGGATAATTTAGACTCAATTTCAACATCTCCTTTGGTATGTTTCAGTCATTACTCAAATCTAGTCCTATACCCCCTAACTGGGAACCCAAACTGAAGGACAAAGGAGGGATTTCAGCTACACTGCCATCCAGGCCAGGGTGGAATAGAGGGGTTTAATTAACACACCCCAGTTTAGGGTCAATGAAGCTGGACCTGCATCTTGTTCTGCTGATAAATGTAGTCTGTACTATGATGGAAATGCTTATCAAGACTGGCTCTAGTCATCCAAGAAAAAGTAGTTTCCACTCTTCTTCTGTTCCACATCCTGTTTTAGGAAAACACAAAGCATAGAGAGAATGAAATCAGACAGGGGAGATCAGCGCTTGTCTTTACCCTGTGGACTGAGTCAGAAATATGGAGAAGCAGAGCTGCCTTGCAAAGAAACATGGCAGCACAGGCAGTACATTAACAAGCATTCACAGCCAGAGTCCTGCAAGAGATTCCAGCTGGCATAGAAAAAGGCTTTAGCTCTGCAGAAAGACGGCAGAAAGTTCTGGCCATTAACATGTTGCTGAAACATCTGAACTATACTATGAAACGTCTATACAGTTATTTTTCTGAACTGATCCTGATGTTCTGTAACATCAAAGATTGAATTAATTGAACATGTAAAACAGAGTCATAAATAATAAAACTGCTGTTCCTATTCTTCGTCTTGCATATGCAAAACCACTAGCACATTCTATACACCCAACTCTACTAGGGAATGGGACTGTTTTCATATCTGGACTGTATATGGGTTCTTCATTTTCCTAATTTTGCAGCACCATCTTGGAAGTTTGTGGCACTGAGTATACCTGAAGAATTAAAACACTCATCCCTCTTTTGGCCCAGCAGTGCTTATGAATTCTGTTGAAATGTCTTGCTACAGCAGAGTAAATTAATAAAATATCCGAGCCCATGTTTTTAATTTGAATGTCAATAAAATTGCAATGTACTTCCAAATTTAGTAACTTTATTTTATCTCACAGGTGTAATTTATATTTAAAAGGGCTGAAACAAATGATAGCCAAACCATTCGCCATGTGGAAACAGCCAGATAAAAACAAGATTCAGCCAAATAAAGTGGGTGATATCTGTCAAAAGGGCCAGAGACCACAAAAGGTCATTCCCACTGTGATCTGATGTACCATAACATGGCTAATAAACCAGAACACAGAAGCTCAAAACGACTAATAATGAGGATAATCATGTTAAGCCCTAACGATGTCTATATATAATATTTCATTCATGTATTAGTTTTCTGTATTTTTGCCCTTGCCTAAAACTGGAATCTACTTGTACTATATACACCCCCTCCACTGCCATATACCTGGATCTCTCTACAAAGAAGCTCAAGACTGGCAGAAAATGGACATTACAGCATGATAAACCAATGGAACATTCCAGGTTCAAACTCACAAAGGTAGTTTGCAAACCAAGACCAAGGAATGGCCGAAAATCCCCCTTCAGAAGCACTAGAACCTTAAAGCACACTACAGGAAGGATCTTTAATGTGATCCATGCCAGAGAAGGGTTTCAAAAGTACTAACCACAGGGTGAGAATAAATGTGACACTAATGTTTTCAATAATTAATTTATGACAAATATGCCTTAGCTCTGTGCAAGTGCTCTTTTGATTACAGCATGACAGCCTGCTTGCTCTTTTCAGAAGGCCACATTAATCAAGCACTGAATCTGTCATGTTTTTGTTCCTATTTCATTTAGGTGGATGAATAAATCTGGAGGGCACTGTATAAATAATACATCAAATTAGGACACATTCGAGAAATAGCTGGGCTCTGAGCCATCACTGTATAATACAGTACATGTGCTAAATGGCCTGAGACAAAGAATGCTTACCTTAATGGAATTCATCTTGTTGATTCTTGGTCGGAAGTTGTTAGGATCTCTACGGAAGGTGATCTCCAGCTGTGCTAAGAACTTGTTCATTCCAGCAAGCAGTGTCTGTGGCCTTCGGAGGAAAAGACATAACAGGTGATGAGCAGTATATCCATAATACTTTATATCACTGGCAGTTTAGTGCAGTATTTAGCTATGCAGCTTTGCCATTTAAGCAAACTTAAATGTGTACAAGAAAATGACTAATATGACTAATGAAGCCTTCAGATTTCAAAGCTTCGCATAAAACCAGACTATTTCTGTTACTATTAACAAACACTGTTATAACAATCTAAATTAAATCATCTCTCTGCCTATATTAAATGTTTTTTACCCAATGTGCGAGATGGCATAGGCTAAATATTAGAATATTGCTGGAGCTACGTGTTTACATGTCTATATTATTACATCTAACAATGCACGTAGAAGGACTTACATAAAAAAGAGTTGCCAGCCAGAGACGTAAATCCACTTATTATATGGAGACCCAACTGTCAGGGTCTGCTCATTCTCCAGGAGACTGTGTGGGTTAGTTTTGGTTCTGCACCAGCTACTCATGCTTGTTTATATATTTCTCAATAAAAGATAGTATTTCATGTTGAATTCATATCTGAAAACCGATGTTTGTTTTTTTTAAGTTGTTGTGTGGTTACATACTGTACTATGAAACTATGAAAATACTTTCTGACTGACAATTAAAGAGCATAATATCGTTACTTTGCTTGCTAGGCAAGCTGGTATTTGAACTGAATGAACTAACTCTTAATTCTACCTAATTTTCACAAATCTTTCTCACATAAATCCCTATACATGTATAGTATATATGAAATAATCACTAGGTGAGCACCCATTCCTAAGCAACAACCCCTCAGAGGTATATTGTGAAAGAACTGTTCAGTCCGACAGTCCAGATTTATTCTGCCATTTTACTTACGTGTTTGCAAGAGTACTTTTAGATGGAATACCATCAAACACAATCACTCGATCAGCCAGGTAGGTCGCCATGATGAAATCGTGCTCCACCACAAAGGCAGTCTTCTTAGCGTGGAGAATGAATCTGAAGGAGGGGCAAGAGAGAGCAACAGTTACCTGGCTGAGTTAGAATATAGCCCATCTCTTGAATCGAAGACAACAGACAAAGGGTGAGTCCCCCCCCCGCCAGACACGCATCTGCTACAGCAAGTGAAACAGCTAAAACTGGACAAAAAGGCTCTGAAATGACACCATTTGTGGAATAAAACATCTGGCATTTCTGTACTTCAGAGTAGTACAACCCATTTCCAAGAAATCAACCAAAATGTAACAATCAAAATGACAGGTGAATCTCAGCTTCCTCTTTAAGACGCGGTTATCAACTTGCGCTTGTTCTATGTTTACGCATGAAAAGGTTTTGTGGAAAACCCGGCGACTCGTGCTTCCGTGCGAAGGCTGACGACACGCACGCGGCACTCTCGTGACAGAAGGCCAGAAGCAGAAGCGCCGCCGGGGCACGTACCGCTTGATGACCCTGGCAGCCATCAGACGCTGCTCAGAGTCCAGGTAGGCCGAGGGCTCGTCGATCAGGTAGACATCAGCCGGCTTGCCCAAGCAGAGTGCGAGAGCCACCCGCTGCAGCTCTCCTCCAGACAGGTTCTGGACCTGCAACAGCACCACCAGTCATCGCAAAAGACACGGAGACAAGGCAGCGGAGAAACTAACGTCCCGGGAAAAGAAAGCACCTCTGACCACTGCGAAACACTCCCATGAAGAATCCCAAAAAGGGCAACGGATTTTAAAATTTTCAAACTACTGGGAATAGCGCTAGATTGAAACTGCTGCTGTTGCTGCCATCTTTATTAAACTGAAACTGTCTCATTGCTGTTCAAGCGTCTAGCCTGTGTAGTCGCACCAGATTTAACATTATGAAAGGCAACCAGATCTAAACAAGACTTCTGAAATGCACTACGACTGTCTGGCATGTGAGAAAAGTGTGGCCTCTACAAGCAGCTGCACTTCTCAGGTACTGATTGGTTATGCACTCACATCTTGATCGATGATGCTGTCGATCTGCATGGGTTTCATGACGTCAGTTACAAACTGTGGGTGGGTGTAAGCATCTCTGATCTTTTCATGAAGGAGCTGTCGGACACTCCCCTACAACAGGGATAAAAAAAAGTTATTTTACCGAAGATGTATTTTTTAATTACTTTTATACTTAAACCTTTCTTATGTTTATACTTCAACCATTGTAGCACGTACTTTGAACTTGGGGCTGATCTTCTGTGGTTTGTAGCTGACATTCAGGACTGGCACCTCCCCTGGAAGATGGAGAACAGTTTTTACCGCGTGCCTTTTTTTAAACTGTCGCAAACTCAGAGGGAAGTAACAAAAATTTGCACGGAAAAATTACGTATGCATCTAGACACGTTTCCCTGAAAGCAAGCTGATGGAATGGCGAGTCTTCGAGATGTCGGCCTTAATCAACACGTCAGATTTGGACTTTGGTCATGAAGAACTTGCGACGCTGGATTCCAGAAACACGGTGTTCTTACAATTCCGATGAGGTTGATAAGAAAGCTATGGATCAATACCGTGACTTCAGGTTTGTGACTGCAGAAAAGATGAAATGTGGTTTGATGCAGACTTTCGATGACGTGGTTTATTTGGCATTAAATGACGAACAATTCAGTGACCTAGCAGTTCTTCTGGATATCAGCGCCACCTTTCTTGCATCAAGCGCAGATTGCAAACGTGGATTCAGTCTGATGAACATTATAAAAATTAAACCGGCTGGAAGAGTTACATTTAGACATGCTCATGAGAATTAAATCGTACCAAAACAAGGGACAGAATATTAACCTCGACCAGGTGTACACACAATGGTTGCCATTGAAAGACGGACGCCAGAAATGATAACTGAACAATATGGTTGTGTACAACATGAGTACAGATATAGATTTAAACTTCAGTTGGTAGGAACAAAGTGAAGACTATAATTTTCAGTGACATACTGAGTTGCTATTTTTTATAGCGATAAGTGAACTGTTGAACTTGACTGTCGAAGTTAAAGATATGCAATGCATGATTAGCATTATAGCTGCAATGCTGCGAGTAAAAAACATCCATGGTAAAACTGCATTAGCGTGCACAATACTAAGTATGTAAGTGAGCGGTTTATTGCAATTCACATCAATCAACTGTTGAACAAACATCAAACGAAATATCAGAAAAGAAACATTTTCACGTTGTAAATGGAATCTTCAAAGAACTTGCTAGAAGTTTTTTTTTTAAATCATTCGGGAGGTGCGGTTCACGCATAATGACATCATCAAAAATTCAGATAATGTGTCAAAACAAATACGCCTTCATGGGTGTCGTTAAATAACATAATTCTGCAACAACTTATTGGTCAACTCAATAGGTAGTACTTGAAAACGTCTCTTAAAACTACATATGGTGGGTACTTCCTTTACTTTATCAGGCTAAAAACTTTCACAAAATCAGCAACAGCAGTACATGTCATTATGCCCCTTGGGCCTTGCCTTGGGTCTTTTCCGTCAATGACCGAGTTCTCACATGGGACCGTCTGAAGCCCTGTGCATCCCGCACTACAGCTTTTTTTCACCGCCCAGGTTATTAAGTCATCCGCTCAGCAGGAAAAAAAAAACTAGAGGGAACACAGGCTCCCACATATGCCAAGTCTAGCAGCAGAGCGCTTCAGGAACGATGCATGGGCTGCTCACACTGCATAAGCACCAGATAGATTCAATCAGCTGAATAATCTACATCTTTCTTTACGAGACAGACGGCATAATGTGAGCAAACAAAACCGGTGAGGTAAAAAAAAAACTTTCACTGTGGAACGAGCATACAGGCATGCCCCAAATCTGTGATGGATCAGGTTTCCGTCACACCCCGTAAAGTGAATTTGTGAGTAAAGTGCAAAATATTTTGGCTTGTTCATATACTAACAGGGAATAAAAATAAAATTTGAGATGCAACAGTCTGACATAAAGCATTTCAATCATTGCTGTAACTAAATAGAACAGGCAGCAATGTATCTGCCAGTTAAGTCTTTGATGGTAAAACTGACAAATAATAACATAAAACTGCTGAATTGGCAAGTGCATCTACGTGCCTGTGATGTATCAGTACTAAAAGTAACGTAAGTGTGATGCGATGTAAACAGAGACACGTTCAGTTCCTAACAGAAAATCAACAAACATCCTGCTGGCCAGAAAGCACCAGATCTGAATCATCACTGATCATTCTCTAATTTCTGCTTATTTTCTGAGCAACGCAAGGACAAGGCCTTTCTAAACAGACTGCATTACCTTGCAAATCGCACATTACAGAGAAAATAAACTGAAACAAGCCTTCCCCAGGCGTACTGCGATGCAATTAGGGAATAGCTTGCCACGCTATTCAGTACAACATTGTCGCAGCAGACTAGATTATCTGCCTCATTCGATAAATGAAAGCAGGAACAGACTGAAAACTGAGGAATAAAGGATAAGAAAAGCAGAAAACAAATTACCTCCTTCATCGGGTTTAAGACGGCCGGCTAGCATCCTGATGAACGTTGTTTTACCAGTACCTGAAAAAAAGTTGGTAATAAAAT